CATCGCTGTAATCAGATAAGATGAAGATATCTAAATGATTTTTGGCCAGAATACAGGCTCTAATATTTTTAATATTACCTGCAGGATTTGAAAACAGAAGTTTGTAACCTCTGAGAGATAGTCCAAGGATTTTGCCGTGGTGGGTCCACGGTTCTTGGACCAAGATGAGCTCCTCCCCTCTCTCAGCCATCCGGAGGAGCAAAGCAGCTGATGCTGCTTTGGAGTGGTGAAGGTTAATCTGGGTTACCTTCACCATCTCCGAGATCAGGATCGTACACGACAGTGACGTCGACGTCCTCAGGATCGGAATCCTGCGAACTGTCTCCATCCTCCGCTAACTTCAGATTGCCAAGAAGCTCACCCATTATACCTGTGGTAGACTGGGAGTCTTCTTGGTTCTCAGAACCAGCGGGATCGTCGGCCTTTCCATTATCCTCCTTGGACGGAGCCTCCGGCTTAGTACCAGAGGCGGCGGCGCTGCGTTTGGCGTCACTGCGATAAATGCGAAGGTAGATACTATCAAAACCATAGTAAACTTTACCTCCGCATTCACGCAATGGCGCCAACGTTTCCTTATTAAGGACAACAGTCGCCTTTCTGACATTTCCCATCGGGGCGGAAACCTTCACCACCTTCCAATCATGGGTAGGTAGATGAGGATTTCCGCTTTGTAGGAACGCCAGAATTTCCGCCGGGTCATGTGGCTCAGTTGGGATGGTGGCAATTGATCTCGGTCTGCGAGGAATTTCGCTCATTTGAACAAGCTAGCAGCTTAATGTGACCCTGGTACCAACCAGCATCATCGTTTTGGGGGGCGGGTCCTGGATTCTCCTTGAGGATCTTCCAGTACACGCCTAGCATCTTCTGACGGATAGTCCCCCATTTTTCCTGGGAGATGGCTCCGTCGCTGTTGCTTTGGTCAACAATAGCCCTTACCAGTGGGTTTCTAGCCACTTCACTGAAAGGCCTATTGATGACAATGGTTTGCGCCTGTTTTTGACGTTTAGTCGGCTGGTCGTTCGGCATAGAAGTAAGGGTCTCCTCCTCAGATCGTTGCCGTTTAGGCGCCTCGGCAGCAGGTCTAACCACTTCTGCCTCAGCTGGAGGATCGGAGCCCTTTAGCCTAGCCAGGAGGCTTTTCGCCCAATCGAGGGACGATTTCTCGTCTCTCGTTAAAGCATCGTTGGGTTTGGCGCCATGACGCTCAACGATGCGCTCGGCGGCCCGCCGATGAACAAAAGCCCTTCTGGAAGGTGTTTTGTGCCTGGGGGAAGACTCTAGGGATACATTGGAAGAGCCCGACAACGAGTTCGACGACTTTTCCAATGTAGGGGGAGGTGCAGCAGAGGAATCCGACATCAGGGTCGACGATTCCACATTCGCACAGGGCACTTGGGAGACCTTGTTGTCACCCGAAGATAGGGATTGAGCTGAATTTGAATCAGCAAGGGCTGCTTTTGCGGCTGCAGAGGTACTCGCCACGACAGGCAGAGGTACCTCACCGCTGGGACCTTTACCCACACCCGAAGGCTTAGTGGGCGGTTTTGGTTTACAAGCAGCCAGCTTGGGCCGGCTACTTGCGGTTGTTGTTGTTGTTGTTGTTGCTCCAGAAGCTCGCGGAGTAGTCAAGCCTGGTGCTACCACCTGACTAGTCCGGACGCAAGTGGTAAAATTTGTTTGTTTTCTTCGCGAACACACACACACATTTCTTTAGTCAATTTTGTATTTCTTTTTTAACTTTTTAAATTTGCAAATATATTGCACTAACTTTAATTTATATTTGAAATTTTTTAATTTCTTTTTGATCCTACGGACAATAAACTAAAGTAAACTCTGTTAATATTTTATTAAAAAATCAGTGGTTTTTACATTTTCCTTTGTGCGTTATTTGTTTACAGATTTACATCTGTAAAATAAAACAATAAAATACAAAAACGGTTATCCTTCTTCTTTCCTACCCTACGCACGGTCAGGCTATTATCACTATTGTTGATAGAAAATTTTGTAATAAATTAGTACTTTGATATCGTGCTGTTAATTTATTTATTTTAATCGACTTTTCATATACTTAAAATGTCGGTTTCTTCACTAAACGCATTTATTAAAGCATCAGATGCTGTTAATGCATTCAGGGATATGTTTAGCAATTCATACGGTTTATACCTTAGAGATTCAGAGTCAGGAGTTCAAAATACTTTCTTAAGACGACTTACGACGTATGTCTTAACACTTTAGAAACTAGTGAATTTGAAGTGGTGAGTGCTAAATATCAAGCCACCTACTCAGCTTATGTCCAATGTGGAGGATCAATATATTAAAAAAATAGATAAATTCAAATCGGCTTTGAAAAGTAGTGAATTTCCAACGGTCCTTGTGATATTGATCCATTCGGAGGTGACTATGTTTCTTGGCCCACTTTTAGCGATTTATTTACCGCAATTTATATTAATAGCTCGCGCTTTTGCTATGTAATACGAAAAACCGAGGCTGAGGCAAAAGAAATCGTTTCTAAATATCCACTTGTTAACGCAAGTTTTGAGGTAGCTTGGCGCGAACTAAAGGAAGCATATGAGAATCCTCGTATGTTGGTACATAACCAACTAAAACATATTTTTGGTCTTATTTCCTTGACTAGGAATCGATTACAGCACTTAAAACATTACAACGCGGAATTAATAGTTGCCTTACGGCTCTTTCTATTTATAAAGTGCCTACTGATAATTGGGACCCAATTATCATTTTTATGTATATTCAACGTCTGCCTAGATCTACAGTTATTTTGTGGGAACAGGGTGTTAAAAACAAAACTGTATTGTCTATATGGAAAGATTTCCATAACATTCTGACAGAAAGAATTCAGACATTGCAATGTTTTCAAGATATTAAAGGTACGAACTCGACTGACGTCGACTATTCAGTGCAGTCAAATAGTTCTACTATTACTAAACCAATTACTAAACATAAAGTTGTACAATCAATAATAACCGTTTTATTTGCAATAATCGACATCATTCTATGCTTCATCCACAAGTATTTCATACTAGACAGAATCAGTCCGTTTTGTTAGGGATATGGTAAACATAATTCATAACAGCCATAAGGTCCGTGCTTTAATAGATACGGGTTCAGAATGTTATTTCATTCCTGAACGTTTACGAAAAAGATTAAAACTTCCCACTCATTCTGCGAATTCTAACGTTTCTGGCGTTAATAATGTAGTTTTTGGAGTTACAAAATTGTGTCCTTTGGAAATTAGTTCAGATTTAGATTCTTCACTAAAACTATCAACTAACGCATTTGTTTTACCAGAATTAACAGGAAATTTGCCTTCGACTTCTGTAAATTTCGATATTGAAAAATTATTGCCAAATCTTTGTTTGGCTGATTCTAATCTTTTTACTAGTAGGGCTGTAGATATTCTTATCAGAGCAGATTGTTATCCGCGCATTATTTTACCAGAAATACAACAAAACATATTAGGGTCATTATTGGCACAGAAAACTATATTTGGTTGGGTACTGACAGGTCCAGCTAATTCTAGGTACTTTGAAACATACATATATCGACAATTTAACGTATTCTACGTGGTCTAACGCTTTTTAACCTTTAAGGGCCAATCTTTAGGTGAAAGATTAGCGATTAAATTAAAATTAATCCTCGAAAGATGTTTTTGAGTACTCAATTAGTTAATTTTGTTTGCAAGTTTAAGCGCCCAATGGAGGTGGTTTAATCTTAAGCACGAAATGCTAAAGTGTAAACAGCTGATGCAAAAAAATTAATAAAATTTTTATAAATATAAACATTAAATTGTTCTATTTATTGATTAGTATAAATTATGGACACTTCAAAATACATTTTTTTGTTTTTAATTTAAGTTTTCATTAATTTTCATATTAAATTTACAATTGTCTTCTTCTTTTTATAAAATATGCATTGTTTTGATAACAAACAGTGAAGTTTTCTGTTGTTTTGTATGGCAACACTGCGAAGTTTAATCTTGTACTCAAAAACATCAAAGGGGATTAACATAAGATTAAATTTATTTTTAGATTAACTAATCTGATTATTAATCGGCATTTGATTACCATCTCAAAAACCCGCTCTAAGTTATTATCACTTTAAAACGCTCACAGAAATATATTTATGTTCCTACTACTTTATTTATGTTTTTACCTTCTTATTTATTATCTTTATATACATATCTTACATTACTTATATTAAATAATAATCCACCTACAGGACTTCGGTTCTGTAGGAAAAGTCGAGAGACTTCCCAAAAATCCACCTGCGGGACTCCGGTTCTGTGGAGAAAGTCGAGAGATTTCTTAAAAATCCACCTGCGGGACTTCGGTTCTGAGGGGAAAGTCGAGACTTCGTAAAAATCTACATCGTATATAAATCGTTTTGCCCATCATTAAGTATTCATTCACATGTACAAATCAATACATAGTGCTACGGCAACCCTAACAAATGCATAGGAGTTCAACCATCTGGCAACTTCATTAGATAAACTTCTTTTTATTCTTTATTATCTTGTTCTTATTATTCATTGTACTCATAAATACGTTACTGAACAGTTAGTTTTTCTCAATGTACAATATCATTTGCAAAGTAAATAAATATTCTGAATTATTATTAAACATAACAATTGTGGCGACGAGGATCGTGAATAAGAAAAAGCCTAACGATTTTTATTATTGAACACACGTACATGAACAGAACAACAATGTCTGACGAGAAAATCGTAAAATTGCTCGCAGATCACCAAACGTCTATAGACAGACAAACAGAATTATTGTTTCAACTAACTCAACTTTGCGTTGCACAAGGTGCAGGTTCAGCAAATGGCAAAAATGAACCGTGTACATCGAAAGCTACTCTCATGGAATCATTGTCGAATTCAATGACTAATTTCACATATGAGCCGGAAAGTGGCCTAGTTTTCGAATCGTGGTACAATCGATACAGTCATGTTTTCGAACGGGAGGCTGATACACTTGATGATACATGCAGAGTATCATTACTATGGAGGAAGATGTCCAACCAAGTGCAAGCATCCGAAAGACATAACTTTCACAGAGACAATTGAAAAGTTAACTAAACTTTTTGGCAGAACGGAAACTGAAGTCAGTCAACGTTACAAGTGCCTCCAGCTCACGAAATCAGAAGCTGAGGATTTCAAGGAATACGCCAGTCGCGTTAATCTTCAGTGTGAACTATTCAAGTTGAATCAATTCAACGTTGACCAGTTCAAGTGCTTAATTTTTGTACTGGGATTAAAATCCATCAGAGCCAACGATATTCGAACGCGTTTACTAAGATACCTCAATGATGGTAAGGATACGGTAAATTTGGACAATCTTGTCGATGAAACGCAGAAGATTTTGGATTTGAAAACCGACACAACGTTGATTGAACAACAACCACACGTTATACAGGCTATATCACAGCCATCCGATCAACACAAAAAGACTCCAAGAACACCATGCTGGTTTTGTGGCGATCTTCACTACGTCAGGGATTGCCCATATTCCAAACACACATGCTCCAAGTGTAAGCAGACAGGGCACAAAGATGGCTACTGCGCTGCCGTCAGTCAACGTAAATCGACAAATCCCAAGGGGAAATCATTTAGACAACAGTCAAACTACAGTGCAAAGACAGTATTTTCTACGAATGCAATCAATTATAAAGATTTACGTAAGTATGTCATTGTCTCCATCAATGAACACACCGTTCAGTTGCAAGTCGACACATCATCCGACATAACGATCATTTCCACACAAACGTGGAAATCTATTGGCCAACCTCCAACTTGTGACACAAAAGACACGGCCAATGACGCAAACTCAAACTCAATTTCACTTTTAGCTGAATTTACATCAGCCGTTTCCATTGGAGACTCGATTAAAACTCTCCGGTGTTATATTTCTGACGTCAATGGACTCAACGTAATGGGCATTGACTGGATTCAAGCATTAAATTTATGGGACACTCTTATAACATCATGGTGCTGTCAGATAAATTTTGAGGACGACATAGCAGCATTGAAAACCTCTTTCAGCAGAGTTTTCGACAACAAGTCCTTGGGTCTCTGCACCAAAACAAAGGTACACATACAATTGTTACCACAAGCTAAGGAAGTTTTTATACCAAAACGACCAGTTCCATATGCCGCTCGTGCGGAAATCGAAGAGGAGCTACAACGTCTACAAAATGCAGATATCATAACACCAGTTGACACATCAAAATGGGCAGCTCCTATAGTCGTAAGTAAGCGTAATGGTAAAATAAGAATATGTGGTGATTTCTCTACAGGTCTGAAAGACGTTATTGAATCAAATCAATACCCGCTACCAACTCCAGAGGAAATTCTTTCCGAAGTGCATGAATGTAAAGTTTTCAGTCATCTGGATTTATCTGACGCCTATCTACAAGCGGAAATAGATGATGAGAGCAAAGAATTAGTGACTGTTAACACACACAAAGGTCTATTTCGTTTCAACCGTTTAACACCCGGAATAAAATCAGCACCTGGTGCTTTTCAACGCATCATGGACCAGCTATGTACAGGTATAGAAGGTGCCAAAGCGTACATTGATGACATCATGTTAGCCAGCAAAGACTTGTCCGAGCATAAAGTAAATCTTCAAAAATTACTACAGCGGATTGACGAGTTTGGTTTTCGACTCAAATTTGAAAAATGTCAATTTTTTAAAAATCAGATTAAATATCTTGGCCAAATAATAGACTCTGTTGGCGTTCGTCCAGATCCGGAAAAAATTAAGGCAATCCAGGACCTTAAAGTACCTGAAAACATATCGGAGGTAAGATCGCTGTTAGGATCCATTAATCATTATGGTAAATATGTGCCTAATATGAAGAAGTTAAGAAAACCATTGGACGATCTTCTTAAAAAGGACTCCATTTTTAAGTGGACATCAGAATGCCAAAATGCCCTTGACGAATTTAAGAACATTCTCACTTCGGATTTGCTTCTTACGCATTATAATCCAACTTTACCCATACATGTAGCAGCCGACGCCTCCAGTCACGGCATCGGCGCAATTATTTATTACACATTTCCCGACGGACGTTTCAAGGCCATACATCACGCGTCACGATCATTAACTGCCCCAGAGAAAAATTATAGCCAGATAGAAAAGGAGGGCCTGGCCCTAATTTTTGCAGTGAAGAAATTTCACCGTATGCTTTTGGGACGTAAATTCACCTTACATACCGACCATAAGCCTCTGCTGACGATTTTTGGATCCAAAAAGGACATTCCGGTCTACACAGCAAATCGTCTGCAAAGATGGGCGCTAACGTTGTTGGCTTATGATTTTGACATCAAATACACAAACACTCAGGACTTTGGCCATGCGGACGTCCTCTCAAGGCTCATAAGCTCCCATGAAAAGCCATCAGATGATTACATTATAGCTTCAATAAATCTGGAAAAGGATTTCGAAAACGATCTTAATGAGTCTTTGTCAGCGCTTCCTGTTACCCATAACATGATTGTGAAAAGTAGCGAAAAGGACAAAACACTTCAGAGAATACTGCATTACATGGATACTGGCTGGCCCCACAAATCAAATGATTTGGAACCTGAAATTGTACCATATTTTAACAGAAAGGACTTCCTGTCCTTTGTTGGTGGATGTTTGCTTCTAAACACTCGTATAGTCGTACCAGGATTATATCGTAAACGCATTTTGAGACAACTACATCGAGGTCATTTCGCAATTGAAAGGTGCAAATCATTGGCCCGGAGCTACGTATACTGGCCAAACATCGATAAAGACATCGAAGAGTTCGTAAAAAAATGTGACAAGTGCCAACTTGCAGCGAAAAAACCCGGTGAAGGCAGATCTACACTCCTGGCCGATAACTGTACGGAATCTTGAAAGGGTTCACATGGATTATGCAGGTCCCGTAAATGGTAATTATTACCTAATAATCATTGACGCATATTCTAAGTACCCGGCAATATACGAAACGACCATTACAACGTTGGCTACCCTCAAATTTTTGAACGAGTACTGCAGCCAATTTGGAAACCCCGAACAGCTCATTTCCGACAACGGCACACAATTTTGTTCCGAAAACTTTGAAAATTGGTGCAAAGGTCGCGGCATTCAACACACCAGAACAGTTCGATTCCACCCAAGCTCAAACGGCCAAGCAGAGCGATTTGTGGATACATTAAAGCGAGCTTTAAGAAAATGTGAGGGAGAAGGCACGATGACGGAGATACTTAATACGTTCCTTGAAGTATACCGTTCTACACCTAATGTAAATTCACCAAATGGAGCATCTCCAGCAGAAGCTTTTATTGGCAGAAAAATGAGAACCATTATGGACGTATTGAAGAAGCCGCAACCCCCATCAGATGAAAAAAGCGAACAAATGGAGCTACAATACAAACGTAAACAAGGCACAAGACCAAGACACTTTGAAAATGGTGATGCTGTTTTCGTCAAGGTCCTGGTGAAATCGTTGAGAGGATAGGAAATGTTATCTATAACACAACTATTCAAATTGGAGACCACCGTTATAAACTCATCAGAGCACACGTCAACCAACTACGACCAAGATCATCGAATGATGTTGACTCACAGATAACATCTAATGGAAAGTTACCTCTCGACGTTCTTATGGAAGAATTTAATATACTTAATTCATCAGCGGAAGAAACCTTTTCTACACCTCCAACTACTCCTCCTCCAAACAGTGTTCCTAGACGTATCACCGCTCGAAGACAACCAGTGGAGACGCAGTCAACTTAAGAAGGGAGATGTTACGGCAACCCTAACAAATGCATAGTAGTTCAACCATCTGGCAACTTCATTAGATAAACTTCTTTTTATTCTTTATTATCTTGTTCTTATTATTCATTGTGCTCATAAATACGTTACTGAACAGTTAGTTTTTCTCAATGTACAATATCATTTGCAAAGTAAATAAATATTCTGAATTATTATTAAACATAACACATAGGAAACAATGTTTTATGAAAAAAGTACCAAAAATAGGTACAATTTTCACCCCTTAAACGTCCGAATATCCAAAAAATACTGATTCATATTTTATTTATGCGTTAAGTTATGAAGGAATCAAAATTATTTTTTGAATGTACACTGGTTTATAAAATACATGGGGTGCAAAAAAAATACAGTTTTTACCCGTTTATTCCCTATAGGGCCCGACTTTGAAAAAAGTACCAGACACCGTTCCGCCTATTTTTTAAATGAACGACGATAAGCTTTAAACTGTTTTTGTATCTTTTCTAGTTTAGGAGCTATGAGGTTACCGAATTTACCCGTTTTTACTCTTTTTTACCCAATAAACATTCGAAATGCCAAAAATTCCGTCTTAGTGGATCTATTTGGTGGGTGACCAACCTCCTGTCCAAATTTCAGCTCTTTAGCTTCAACCGTTTAGGCTGTGCGATGATGAATCAGTCAGTGAATCAGTCAGTCAGTCAGTCAGTAACGTTAGAATTTTACATATATAGATTAATAATTATAGCATATTTTGTATATAAACTTGGAATTCCATCTTTTGAAATCGTACTTTAAAATGGGCTGGATGGGTCCCATTTTGTTCATTACCGCTTAAAACTTACTGGTGTAAAATTTTTGTTAAATCATATGACGGAAACCTGTGTCCAGCCTTAAGCTGGGTTTCCGCATACAGCATAATCGGCGACGGAAACGAAAACTGAAACTGAAAAACGTTGGTGTTCGTCACCGTCTCGTTTCTGAATTGTTTTCGTTTAAGTTAGGTGCGTTGCGGCATAAAACAGAAACGAAATTATTTTTTAAGTTGTCATTTGAATGTGGAAAATTGTGCATCGAAAGGTATATTGAAGAATTACTAACAATATGGAAAATTATAGTGTCGATGAAATTAACGAAACAAATTATCGAATTGCTGCCTATAACATAAATACGAAGATATGTTATTGCTGTTAATATTGAAAGCAAGAAAAATATTCACGTAATGTACAAAAACTGGTCCAGAGAAGGTGCACATATCTTGGTTGATCGATATTTGATGGATGATGATACGAAATTTAAAGAATATTTTCGTTTAAGTCCTTATCTTTTTGAATTCGTGCGTAATATTGTAAAATCTGCATAATTTGAGTCTTGGTATATTTTTCTTTGAATTTTTTTTTAAACAAATGAAAAATAAAATTATTGGTGGACCCTACACCTTGTTATGTCTCAAAGAGCGAGCGTTCCTCGTGAGATTCACAATTTGCAAAAAAAAAATACCATTTTATACCTTTATATATTTTATTAAAAAAAAAAATTAATTTGTTAACTTTATGTACATAATTTATTTGGTAAGCCTAAGTAATTAAAAAATAGATTTTATCCGAAACATAGTTCAATAGAGCTGCCCGATTGTCCTTTAAATACAAAAAAAATTCTAAAATTACCCTTTAAAGAACGAAAAAGTACCAAAAAGTCCCATTTTATTGGTTCTCATTAACTACGGGCTCCACATGGTTAATATCATGTTTCAACTATCATATTATACAAACACAAAAAGTACCAGTTAAAAACGAAAAAGTACCAAAATATAGTCCTTTGTACCGGAGTTGCAAGTAACACTCCATTGGTATATTTAGTGTTACTAAATCTATCAATTTCTTCAAATTGATTAAAATTTGGTCAGTGACTTTGAATAAAATCAAATTTCCCGTTTTTCTCCTTTTGGTACTTTTTTCTACCTGTTTAAGTTAGAATTGATGTAACTACTTTTTTTGTAATACTTTTTATAACAACGTTAGTATCTTAAAGCTCCACTTTATTGCTGGAAGATTCTAACGAGTAAACCACTAACGGTGCTTAAATATTGTTTTGCCACCAAATTTATGCTTGTTCGTTTGACATTATAAATAACTTTTGATTTGTCTACGACACAAGCACTATGTGCATATTACTTATAAAAACCATATACTTCTACGAGGTAATATTTTGGTTGAAATAAAAAGAGATCTTCCTCTCTAATAAATTTGAATATTCTTTGTTTTATTTTATATAAAATCTTGGGAAATTGTTGGAGCTGAACATTTGGTCTTAGCGAACCGGAATTTTGGATATTGATATCAGTACCGGATCTTTTTGGCACCTTCAACTCCATTCCATTAATACAGTCCACCGGAGATATATTTTTCATTTATTTATTTCTACGAAATAAGGTACATATTTCTATTGTGAGCAAGTGGTAAAATTCGTTTGTTTTCTTCGCGAACACACATACACATTTCTTTAGTTAATTTTGTATTTCTTTTTTATACTCTTCACCTTCGTGAGAAGGGTATGTATAAGTTTGTCATTCCGTTTGTAATTTCCAAAATATAATTTTCCGACCCCATAAAGTATATATATTCTGAATCCTTATAGATAGCGGAGTCGATTCAGCCATGTCCGTCCGTCTGTCTGTCTGTTGAAATCAGTTTTCTGAAGAACCCAGATATCTTCGGGATCCAAATCTCCAATTATTCTATCAGACATGCTTTCGAGAAGTTTCCTATTTAAAATCAGCAAAATCCGTTCATATATTGCACTAACTTTTATTTATATTTGAAATTTTTTAATTTCTTTTTGATCCTACGGACAATAAACTAAAGTAAACTCTGTTAATATTTTATTAAAAAATCAGTGGTTTTTACATTTTTCTTTGTGCGTTATTTGTTTACAGATTTACATCTGTAAAATAAAACAATAAAATAAAAAACGGTTATTCTTCTTCTTTCCCATATATTGGGCACCCTACGCACGGTCAGGCTATTATCACTATTGTTGATAGAAAATTTTAAAATCAATTAGTACTTTGATATTATGCTGTTAATTTATTTATTTTAATTGACTTTTCATATACTTAAAATGTCGGTTTCTTCACTAAACTGATTTATTAAAGCATCAGATGCTCTTACTGCATTCAGGGATATGTTTAGCAATTTTGGCTAAGAAATTCATACGGTTTATACCTTAGAGATTCAAAGTCAGGAGTTAAAAATACTTTGGAAAAATGTTAAGACGACTTACGACGTATGTCTTAACACTTTAGAAACTAGTGAATTTGAAGTGGTGAGTGCTAAATATTTTTTTTTTCTGTTTATGTTTATCCTTGAATATCTTATGTTTATCCTTGAATATCTTAAAAAAGGATATTTTGTTTTTCTTAATTTTTTTATGACAAATAGACAAAGTTATTGTTATTGCTATGTAAAAATTTTAGAATGGGATCTCAATGGGTTTGGAAGTTATAGGAGTTTTTATTTAGCCACATTTACAATTTCCATAGGAAATGAGTGCTTTTTACACATTTTAACACATTAATAGTCAAGTAAATTAAGATTTTATTGCCGAATGAAGTAAAAATTACCACAGACCCTCAACTTAGTGTTATAAATATGAGGGTAAAAAATAACTGAAATCATGTCATATATTTGCAATATTGGAGGTCATAGGTCAAAATAATCAATTTTTTGATATATCTCCCTTTTAGTACATCCTACGGATTTAGGAGTCATTACAAAATTTGTCGAGAATCTAATTTACGGTATTTTGGTTTCAGATAATTTTTTCGTATTATCAGCAGTTTTGGAGTTATAGTCATTTTTTGTTCATTATAGATATGTTTTTCTAACCTCAATATACATATTTTGTACTACAAACGTCATTGTGATAATTTTATATACAGCCATTAGTGACAACGGCAATTAATTATTTAATTATATTCATCTCGTCAGAGTTGCTCTCTGACCCATAGTGCGATCTCTTGTAATCTAAATTTTTAAACTACTCTGGGGTCATTTGCTTTGCACAAAAACCTGATGAAGCCTTATCCAAGACAACAATCATTACATGATAGATCCAAAGCTATTTACAATTATCGCCACTCCCGTGCTAGAAGAACGACGGAGAATGCTTTTGGAATTATGGCTTCATATTTCTGTGTTTTTCTCACACCAATTGGTATTTGTACACTGGAAACAATTGACAATGTTATTTATGCTGGATGTATAATTCACAATATGATGCAGTCGGAAAAAATTAATTCAACAGCAGACACAATATTTGGAAATGTAAAGGATTTGACAATGCCAGTTAATAATATTATTCCAATTACAAATGTATGAGTAGGTGGACGACCAAATAATGAAGCATCGATAATTCGCGATAAATTTAGGGATTATTTCAATGAAATTGGCGCGGTTGAGTGGCAGGAACAATTAATTTCACCATTTTAAGAAAATTAATTTAAAACAACTTACCTTCTGCGTTTAATTCATATGCTAATATAAACCACAATCTATTTTTCACTTGACGGTCACGGAATTTTCGATGTCTCACATTAAATAGAATTTCATTGTTTTTGACATAATATATTATTTTTTCCTCTTCCAATAAAGAAATTTATTTTTTTACTCATTTAATTTTAATAAAATAAAATAATTTCGTTTCTACAGCACCGAAAAAAACTACTTGAAGTTGTCTTCGTTCCGGCCCCAAATGACAGGTTTTTCGTTACTGAGCGGTGCCGTTTTGTTTCTAATTTTCTTTGCCGATTTCTGAAACGAACTTTTTTTCGGTGCAAATGTATGCAATTTCGTTTTCGGTGCCGATTACGGTGTATGCAGAAACGTAACTTTAGTCGTACGGTAACTTAAATGAACATACCTTATGTTTCTTTTTAGAGTATTTTGATCACAAATACAAAATACGCTACCTAACGAGGTCCTGTTGCGCACACAAACAAAACGAAA